TCAGGCATCTTAAACTTGGGGCCCTTCAATTTTGCATCAGGACATTCCAGGTCAACATCAGGTACTTCCACATCTATGTTGGGGCCTTTGATATCAAGTTGAGGACCTCTGAGATCAGCTTCTATTTCCGGCACAGAAGCATCTATCTCTCCTTTCAGTTTGGGCCCCTTTAAATTCAAGTCCACATCTGGCATAGAGATCTTAGGAGCCTTGATATTGAACTTGGGCATCTTAAATTTGGAGCCTTTCAGCTTTGCATCAGGACCTTCTATATTCACATCTGGAACATCAATGTCCACCTTGGGTCCTGAGACATCAATGTCAGCCTTTGGTAGGTTCACATCCACTTCAGGACCCTCACCTTTAAAACCAGGCATGCTGAACTTGGGCATTTTCACCTTGGGCATCTTTAGGTGCCAATCTGGCCCATGAACATCCACATCTGGGGCACTGATGTCCACCTTAGGTCCTTTGATGTCCACATCTGGCACTTTCATTTCACCTTCTAGCTTGGGCACTGTCACATCCACATCCCCCTTGACTTTGGGGCCTTTCAAGTTTAAGTCCACATCAGGCATGGAGATCTTAGGAGTCTTGAAGTGCATGTCAGGCATCTTAAACTTGGGACCCTTCAACTTCCCTTCTGGACATTCAATATCAATATCACCAACATCCACATCCACTTTAGGGACTTTAACATCAACTTCAGGACCTTTCAAATTTCCTTCCACTTTCGGAAGAGAAACATCTACATCACTTTTCAGTTTAGGTCCTTTCAGATTAAGACCAACATCAGGCATAGAGATTTTGTGTGTCTGTATATTCATGCTTGGCATCTTGAACTTGGGGCCCTTTATTTTCCCTTCTGGAGCTTCAATATTCACATCTGGAACATCAATGTTCACTTTGGGTCCTGAGACATCAATGTTGGCTTTTTGAAGATTTACATCCACTTCAGGGCCCTCTCCTTTGAAGCCAGGCATACTGAACTTGGGCATTTTTACCTTAGGCATCTTCAGATGCCAGTCTGGGCCATGAACATCCACATCTGGTACATCTACTTGAGGGCCTTTGATATCAACAGCAGGAGCTTTTATTTCTCCTCCCACTTTTGGAACTGAGACATCATGGTCTCCTTTCACTTTAGGGCCTTTCAAATTCAAGCTAACATCTGGCATGGATATCTTCTGAGGCTTTATATTCATTTCTGGCATCTTAAATTTTGACCCTTTTAGTTTTGTATCTGGACCTTCAATATTTACATCTGGAACATTAATGTCTACCTTAGGTCCTGAGACATCAATGTTGGCCTTAGGGATGTCCACTTCTGGGCCTTCTCCTTTGAAGCCAGGCATACTGAACTTGGGCATTTTCATTTTAGGCATCTTAAGGTGCCAGTCTGGGCCATGAACTTCAACGTCTGGAGCATCAATGCCAACTTTGGGCCCTTTAACATCCACATCTGGCACTTTTATTTCACCCTCTACATCAGGCAATGATACATCCACATCTGCTTTTCCTTTGGGCCCCTTAATATTCAAGTCCACATCAGGCATGGAGATCTTAGGAGCCTTGAAGTGCATGTC